TAGAAAAAAAACAAATGAAAAAAAGAGCTTTATTTAGCATTATTAAAAAAACAAAACTTGTTAAGATTCCATCAGAAATAAGCATCTTACCCTGTAAACAAGTTTACTTTTCATGGTGACAGAAGTGAAGTTGATAATTGTTATGTTGACGAGTTTCCACTCGCCCGCTGTCAGCATGATCTGCTCAGACACCTCAGTCAGGAGGGTGTCACTCATGACTTTTCCCAGTTTCATCAGACTTTCTGTTTCCATGAAAAAACATTGAAACTGATTAAAAGATGGCAAAGTTTGCAATTACAGTAACCAGCTGTAAAACCAGCCGAATAGCAGCCCACTTCCCTGCAGCTCCCAGCAAACTCCCCTCCAACTTCCAGCCACTAGTCTTCTCCTGGGCGAGCATTTTTTTTCCTCTGACTCCACCCTTTCACTGAATTACAGGGTCTTAGCAGGAGATGATGCTTCTCTTTACATATTAATGTCCAAAAATTATAACAGAAAGAATATTTTTGTTAAAATATTGATATTTAAAGAAGGAATTGTATGGGACTAGCCAAGGACCAGCCAAGAAACAGTCAAGAACCAGCCAATAACCAGTCAAGGACCAGCCAAGAACCAGCCAATAACCAGCCAATAACCAGTCAAGGACCCGCCAAGAACCAGCCAAGAATCAGCCAAGAGCAGCCAAGAACCAGACAAGGACCAGCCAACAACCAGCCAAGAGCAGCAAAGAACCGGCCAAGAACCAGCCAAGAACCAGCCAAGAGCAGCCAAGAACCGACCAAGAACCAGCCAAAAACAGCCAAGAACCAGCCAAGAACCAGCCAAGAGCATCCAAGGACCAGTCAAGGACCAGCCAAGAACCAGCCAACAGCAGCCAAGGACCAGCCAAGAACCACCAAAGGACCAGTCAAGGACCAGCCAAGAGCAGCCAAAAACCAGCCAAGAACAGCCAAGAGCAGCCAAGGACCGGTCAAGGACCATCCAAGGACCAGCCAAGAACCAGCCAAGAGCAGCCAAGAACCAGCCAAAAACAGCCAAGAACCAGCCAAAAACAGCCAAGAACCAGCCAAGAACCAGCCAAGAATCAGCCAAAAGCAGCCAAGGACCAGCCAAGGACCAAACAAGGACCAGCCAAGGACCAGCCAAGAACCAGCCAAGAGCAGCCAAGGACCAGTCAAGGACCAGCCAAGAGCAGCCAAAAAACAGCCAAGAACCAGCCAAGAACCAGCCAGGAGCTGCCAAGGACCAGTCAAGGACCAAACAAGGACCAGCCAAGGGCCAGCCAAGAAGAGCCAAGAACCAGCCAGGAGCTGCCAAGGACCTGTCAAGGACCAACCAAAACCAGCCAAGAGCAGCCAAGAGCAGCCAAGAACCAGCCAAGAACCAGCCAAGAGCAGCCAAGAACCAGTCAGGGACCAGTCAAGAACCAGCCAAGAACCAGCCAAGAGCAGCCAAGAACAGCGAAGGACCAGCCAGGGGAAATTTTTAATGGCTTCTACTGTATGAGAACCTGCAGATATGTTTCTTTGCAAGTTTTTGGGGATATTTATAAAAACTGTGACAAGAATGAAAACCGACATGGAAGGTGACGTTTTTTCAAATTCATATAAACAGTGATAAAAATGTACCATCATAAGTCATGGATGAAAACGAGATGTTGCAGGTTTGGGTGTCGAATGGGAACCTAAAGAAGTCGAACTTGCAGGCGGAGGTCAGCTGGAGCCGTTTGTTTAAAATGACCAGCCCGTATGAAAACACGCTGAGCAGAGGATCCTCGTCAGAACCTCCATCATTAGAGCTGCTAGAAGAAAAGAAGACGAAACGGATCAATGAGCCTCGCATGGTGCGGTTGATGTTTGCAAGATGACTTACTCCTCCTGGATGATTATATCCGGAGTCCAGAGCATGGAGCTGGGAACTGTCAGCATTTTAATCCCACAGAACTCAGAGGAATTCCAGATTAGAAATTCATTAATCCAATACTGAAAAATGAACAATAAAAAGAGAAAAAGTAAAAACAGTTAAATGAAGGATGACAAAGCTCAGCATAGGAATTTATTTTCTTACCATTTTGAGCCAGATGTGGTTTGTAATCGTTTGAAACTTCTCATCCTACAGAAAGTCAGATCAGCAGACAAAGAATGAAAATATTATTATTATTATTATTATTATTATTATTATTATTATTATTATTATTATTATTATTATTATTATTATTATTATTATTATTTGTCTGCCTTGGAGGAGGAAGTAGATGTTCTGGGGATATAAAAAAAAAACTTTTCTAATTGATTTAGGAAACCTTTTAAATTTTATTCAACCATAGACCCTAGCTTATCATCATCATTATAAGTATTATTATTGCTATTATGGTTATTATTATGAATAATCTATCTTAAACATTGATTGAAATAATCCATGTTTTTTATGAAGAAATTCTCAATTACATCATTTAAAAAGTAGGTTAAATCAATTAATGGGACACTTAATTATGTAATAATACACTAAATAATTAAAATTTTACATTTATTATGAGTAATTATTCAGTTAAAAAGTTGTCTTTGTTTTTTTTTTTTGGGGGGGGGGGTCCTTTTGGCCCTCGGTACCTCGGACCCTAACCCTCAGGTTCTAAAAACCTTTCCCTTAATTAACTGTAAAGGCATTTTTGACAAAAAAAAATCTGCTCTATGTGTTTTTCAATCTTTCTATTTTCTCATTTATCAAAATCCTCTCATGTTTTTACCACAGCTGCACAAAAGCAATTAACCAAAGACATCTTCAGAACCGGCCGGTCTGCATCTGGACGGAGAAACTTGAGAGAAAGGCCCTCAGTGGAGGACTCTATATTAGCCTTTGATTAAAAA